GTAATGAATAGTGCCGTATACTTACCATACTAAATTTAGTTAAAAAAAAGTAATTTGAGGTTATGTCACTTCCTATTTAAGAGCATGAATCTTGAACTTGGGATCTTTTTTTTTTTTGGATTTTTGGGTGTATCCGTACTGAATGTAATCAATCCTCTCTTGATCAACACACGCCGGATTTTTTTCTTCCCTTTTTCACGGTTTTCCTGATAGAAGCTCTCCAAAAAACTTAATAATCGTATTTTCTATTAAGTACTGAGCATAGTGGCTTTTTTTTGTCTCTTTTGTTTAGATTTGAGGAAAACCTATGTTTCTGTGATAGAAATGTAAACTAATTTCAACTCTAGGACAACAAACATATACAATTGTGGAATAAATCTATTCGGCCTAATGATAACACAGAAGTTTGGAATCCCTCGGTAAGTTGAAGCTCGGAGACTGAGTTTGATCAGCTCTCGTCCAGATTGATCGTGAAGGCTAATTCGTCGTACAGGTTGTATCGCCTGCGGATCATCTTATCCTTCAACAACACCTTGACAGACTAACTTCATGGGCCTGCCTTTGGCAGATGGAGTTTAATGTTAAGAAATGCAACCACATATCCTTGACCAACAAGCGAACCGTTGTCATACTACCATATTACATGCATAGTCAGGTCTTGGAACATGTAACTTCCTCTGATTATCTGGGTGTTAGATTAACGAGCGAGCTAAATTGGAAAGAACACTGTGACAAAACTTCCAACAAAGCCAATAGAGTTCTCGGGCTGGTCAAACGGACTTTACAACCGTGTACGCCTGAAGTCAAGGAAAGAGCCTACAAAGCAATTAATGGACCTTTACTAGAAAATCCAAGGCCTGCCTGGAATCCACACACAAACAGGGACACTGAAACTATCGAAAGAGTCCAGCGACGGGCTGCTCGTTTCGTCGCGCACAATTACAAGAGATCTACAAACTCACAAGATCTTGTAAATCAGCTTGGTTGGGACTCCCAGTCCTTGGAATCCAGACGTTTGCTGGCCCAAGCGACTCTTTTTATAAAATCAAAAACAATCTCATAGATCTTGAATTCCCATCTTCTATCCAACCAGCTCCTAGACCAAGGATCCAACATGCCATGCTCCAGCCCCCCTCAAGTGTTTTGGCGCACCGTTATTCTCTGTTTATACGAACTGTTCGGGTATGGAATAAACTGCCAACTCAAACAGTCCAAGCTGAGAACACTACTTCTTTTAAATCCTTAGCCATAAGGGACATTCAGAACATGAAGACCCCAAAAAAGCTGCTTCTTTTCATTGATATTTTGTCCTTATATGTATTTCATTTTAGTTTTCTCTTTCTTTTCCTAATTCTTTTCTTCAAATGTGATATCAAGTTTACTTCGGCTCTTAATGTAATATCGATATCTCACTTTGTTGCTGCGCGCCAGGTCTAAAAATAGATATGTCATCTTTGGACCCCCCGCTGGTTTAAGAGAAACACTCGGAGTCTTTACAAGGACTTGTATGTGAAACGTGTCAGAATTAAGACTATTTTCGCTCAAAAAATACTCTAACTTTCTAAAATGGTTGCAACTAGGCATTGCTGTTGGGGTACATGTAAAAATGACTCAAGATATCCATAAATACTGCCAGATTCGCTTAAAGAAATGCTTAAAACGGTCGGAGAGGCTTCATACCGTTCCCAAAGCCGAAGCATGACTTGGAACTTTGTCAATGCCGGGTAAATGCGTGTTCTAGAAAGAATTTCTCAGCTGGTAGTGTTAACTACAATACTGATATTTGTGCTGTACACTGAAATTCTTGACAAAAGCCTTTTCAAACCGCTTGTTTGGAAACGTTACATAGATGACATCATCTCGCTATGGAGTACAAACAAAGCAACAATAGAACGTTTCACTGAAAAAGCAAACAATCATCACCCAACAAAATTTACGGCTGAAATTTCCGATAAGGAAACAATATTCCTGGACACGTACATCTATAAAAGCGAATGATTCGAAAAGGACGCAATCCTTGATGTGCGTACTCATTTTAAACAAACTGAGACAGTTCAGTATGCACACTGTAGTTCCTATCACCCACAAGGAGTTAACAAAGGCTTCATAAAAGGAGAGGCCCTTAGACTTCTCAGAACAAACTCCTCTCAGACAATATTCGAGGAGACAATTGCAAATTTCAAAGCGCATTTGCTAAAGAGAGGCTACCCAGAGGCCCTCATTAGCACAACCCTCTCTCAGAGGTGAATTCAGTCAAAAACAGGAAAGTAGCTCTTCAACAGAAACCGGCGAAGACGAACCAACGAATCGTGCCTTTTATTACACAATACCAACCATCAGTGCCAAACCTAAAGCAAATTCTCATGAGACACTGGCATTTAATAGAAACACAACCAGTACTGAGCGAACTATACAAAAATCCGCCACTCGTGTCTTAAAAAAGAGGGCGATCGCTCAAAGACATACTCGTGAGGGCCAAACTTTGAATAGGCTATTCTAAACACGCGCTGGTGAGTTGTGTAGGCCTGTCAACCCCCTTTTTACATTGAACTGTTAGATCCTTAAGTTTCACGAGATCGACTTTACTTTCCTTTCCTCGCCCATCATCTTTACTTTTCCTTTCCTCGCCCATCATCTATAGTTGAATCAAGAACATAATGTTTTCCCGACTTGAGGCTGTCACGAACACGTGCGATGAGGTCTGCTCGTTTTCTGCTTAATTTCAAGCCCCAACACTTTAACCAACGCTTCAATTGTGTGTTTGTATAGTTCTCTTGGTCTTGCTCAAGCTTTGAGCCAGGAACACCGTCGTTTTGATTTATAATACGAGCTTTAGAGGCGTTTGAACTACAGATGGGCGCATCATCGCCCACTCGAGAAGCCTGTTTGTTTGTCCTAATCGCTCTAGAGGGTCAAAATTTCGTGACGTCACAAACGCGCAGCGCCAATTTTGATAATTACAGTTATATTTTACTTTCTTGTTTCTTAACCGTAAAATACGCTAGTTACAAGAGTTTCTCAGCCCTTTTCCTACCTCAAGGAAAAATAAAACATCATAATTTGACCGCTTCTTTTGATCGCGACGACTACGTTTGCACTTCGGTGAACAAAATACAAAGCTATAAAAAATCAGGATGTGAGAATTGGAACTGGATGTACAAGAACTGACATTTTGATGAGAGGAAGGTGTAAGGTCTGTTTACAAAGGCTAAAACAGATGTCAAATTGTCAAATAGACAATGATTTGTCCAGAGATACTCTTTTTCCGGTGAATCACTTGTGAAAATAGATGCAAAAATGTTAAAAATTGAATGAAATGACACTTAAGCTATTTAGACTTTAAGTAATGGCGCTTCTAGTGACGATCCACAGCCATTGCGGTTTTTTTCAGACGAGAGATAAATTTTAATAAGTAGTTTCTTAGAAATCGACTTTGAAATAAAAGCTAGCGCTAAGAAGTCACGACGCCAAACTACTTGTTTAGAACAATTCGTGTTACGATTATTTTATTATTTTATTCTTTTATTCTCTTCCATTGTATATTGTTTATACTTTTTCACATATTTTAGCGTTCGCCACATATAATCGTCTTCAACTTGCTTCAACATATTTATGCTGATTTGGAAAACTTACTCACTTGAAAATGACCTCAGAGAGGTCGAAACGTTGTGACTTCTTAGCGCTAGCTTTTATCTCAAAGAGAAATAAATTGACGGAACAAAAATAAAGCGGTGAAAATGCTTTTAATATTAAATGCGTAAAACTTTAAGAGAAAGTTCTACTGCATGAATAAAGATGGTTCTTAAAGTCTAATTTATCTGAGAATTGTTTTGACGATTATGGGTTGATCAAAAATATCGCCACAGTAAAGGAGGAGAAAACTGAATATTCACCTGATATTGAAATTAAAACTTATAGAAGAGATACTGCAGCTGCTTTATTCTGTTTTTTTTTTCTGTTTTTGTTTTGTTTTCTTGTACGATTTCCAGTTATTAAACAATATTGTTAGACACTCTGAAAAGACAGACTTCTTGAAAGTTGTTTTTTTTAGAGGGAGACATCAAAACTCAGGATGTTTGTACTGCAAATATATGGCGCCATGCTGAGGGTAATTAAATAAGCGATTGAACATTATGCCATTGTATCCTCGCTTGCTGTTTATCTCACAATCACCTAATAAAGCGAAAGAAGAAAAAATATTATACCGACTCCCAAAACTGCCTATGTTTACGCTAATAGTACATATACAACCTCGATCAATTATTATAATTTAGGTGATGTGAATATTTTGGTTTATTGCAAGCTTAATAATTGAATTGAACTGAATATGTAACCTGTCAAAACGCATTCGTTTAATTTTTCCTCCTAACAAACTACTTCAAAATTTAATTAACTTGAATGCGAAAAGCTTCATGTTGTTTAGTAAATGCTGTTTTTTCCATCTTCCCACGTATGCATATGTTAGTTAGATAAGTACTTTCTACTGAGTGTAAATGAAAACTGTTTTCCTGCAGGACTGACGGATGTAGATAAATTCTACTAATGGTTGATTTCCCGTTGTGCATCACTTTCCTAAATAAGCAGCTGGCGAGACAAAAATCTCAGACTTTATTCAACTGACTCGTGTTCCAACTGCTTTCAGGTGGAAGCTAGAAGCTGTGTTCAAGTAATCATCTGTTGGCGACTTCCCTCCCTCTATGCAGCACCATAACAATTCGTGTTTGAGTTACAAAGTCAGACAGGCTGACAAATCGTAACCAGGCACATGCAGGAAATCATTTAAATAAGTTGAATCGACAAAGAAACTGTTCCACTGAGAGAGCTTTAGGAACATTATTTGGTTAGTTCGATACGGAATATTGCTTAGAAGGGACAAGGAGTTCCAGTTTATTCCAAAACAGCAAAACGGAGTAGTGACTTCCTATAACACAACAGAAAACACCTTTCCAACTCGCTGTAAAGTCAAAATTTAAACAAGTGTAATATTTGCGCACACGAAACCGGGCTCAGCGCCTTCGGGAACAAATCAAAAAGTTGAGATGGGTTTGCCATCGGCATCAAGTATGTGTTCAAACATTGGTCCTCCAAGAGCGCTCTCATACTTCACAGCGTCCTTTTCAGTTTTCCTTACAATTTTAACCATTCCTGGAAACTTTCTCGTCTGTTTGGCCATCATAAAGGATCCTTTCAGAAACTTGAAAACACCATTTAACTATTTCCTGCTGAGTCTAGCGGCGACAGATCTGGTTGTGGGAACGATTATGGATCCAGTTTCAATTGCTTTTCACACCAGCGAAGCGCTTCAACTTGACATTGTAGACATCAAAATCTTACATATTCTATACTTCATCTTATGCACGGCGTCTATTTTAACACTCATGGCGCTTACTGTGGATAGATATGTGGCCGTATCGTCGCCAGTGAAGTACAAAACAATGGTTACCTCCAAGCGCGCTATTGTAACATCCATATCAATTTGGGTGGCAGCGCTGGGGTTTTCCTTTGTATACTTTGAACTGGGTTTCATATTCTACTCCTTTATTTTTGCAAACACTGCTGTTCTCAGCACGTTTGGGGTTCTAATCTTTGTTCATGTAGGAATACTTAAAAGACTGCGACAGAGATCGAGATATTGGCGAAAAAGGAGAGTAGGGAAGGGTACGGAATCTGATGAACAGGTCGAACAGGAGAGCCAAAAAAATCTTGTCATTACAAAGAAGGACAGCAAGGCAGCCAAAGCATTGATGATTGTGCTTCTTGCATTTTTTGCTTCGTTCACGCCAGCCTGTGTTATGATTTATTTGTTAAATTTTTGCTCCGGCTGTAGTTGTGTGTTGATCCATTGGTTGCGGGATTTGCAATTCTTAATTGTGTTATGTAATTCTGGTATTAACCCTTATCTATACGCATGGAGGCTTCCTCAGTTCAAAAGAGCTTTCTACAAATTTCTGCGTATCAAGACACGTGCTAAGATAAGTGACATTACTACAACATCAGTTCACGCCGCTGGCAAGCGAGAAACTAGCCAAATACCTAAAACTAGCGGAGAAGACGAAAAGATTTCACCCGTTTAATAAAACTTAACAATCATAACACACTCTCCAAGAAAGTGTCCTTTCTTACATGGATCCCGGCGTATATATTTGACAGTTTCTAAACTGATAATTTTACGAGTAAGGAGATTTAATTAGTCCAAAAGAGATAATCTTATGAGCTTTCAATGTATTTTTTTTTTCGATGTTATGAAAATAAATGTTTATAATTAAGTGGATTGCGTAAACTCTTCGTCTCAGATATCAATTACCATTACCACTTAGAAAGGACCATCGAACTGAGTGATATATTTGTTTCCGGGCCGGATTTCGAACGATAAATCAAACTTTAGATTTGTCTCTTCATTTTATCTGCAGAGATTAGATGAAGTAGGTAACAAGTGTACCCATGTGTAGTCCACCACACAAAGCGTTGTAATGAATTATGATGTGGAATGTACGAACCCCAAATCACCGTCAGATCAGTCCACAAACATTGCTAAACATATTAGTGACGATTATGTGAATAGCATAAGACCTCCGCACACAGTTCTTTGAGCGGCGAGACAAACTGAAATGATTTCTGCAATGTTGTCTTTTAGTTTCATCATTCTCAGTGGTTGCTTGTGAACAGCTTTAACTGCCAGTGCAACATTACCCGCTGCTCGAAATATAGAAATCTAGCTAGCTTCTATGACTTGAAAAAAATAAAACTTCAGAGATAAAATTTCATAATAATAATTGGATTGTAGGTGCAGGAAATATTAAAGACATGGTATTAAGTTGCATTATTTAAAGCACCAATGTGGTGTGTGTATGAAATTTATCACAATAGTTGGTGTAAGATTTCGGAAAACCTGCGGATATGTCAATTCTGTTTCCTAGTTTGTAGTATTTTGTTTTTTGTTCAGTTAAAACAGGCGACAAGAAATTATATGATGGGAGTCGATTCCGTTCACATGACTTCAATTTATAATAATAATTTACATTTCTAAAGCGCTAAAATTATAAAATATTCTAAAGCGCTTTACAACATTATTAACTACAAATATTAAAATGATAAACGACAAAAAATCAAAACAAACTGTAAGCCAGCTTGAATAGATGTGTCTTAAGCTTTGACTTAAAAATCGTTACACTTGGACTGTTTCGAATTTCAAGCGGCAGTTCGTTCCACAAAAAAGGTCCAGAACGGGCAAAGGCACGATCACCAAAGGTCTTAAAGTTAGTTCTTGGGACCTTAAGGAGACCCTGATCGCAGGAACGTAGCTGATGACCCTTGACACTGTGTGGCTGCAGATATTCTTTTATGTATAGTGGGCCTTGGTTATTTAAAGCTTTATAAATTAAAAGTAACAACTTAAAATGGACGCGATAAGCCACAGGAAGCCAGTGAAGATTATATAAGGCGGACGAGATGTGGTGAAACTTGGGAATCCTAAAAATTAGTCGAGCAGCGGCGTTGAGCACCTTCTGAAGACGCTCTGTCTGGTACTTGGGTACGCCAAATAAAAGGGAGTTGCAATAGTCTAAATGCGAAGTTTAACTTTTCCTTCGTTTGTTTCTTCAATGAGTTTCAGACGAACGCAGCCTTAAATCGGTTTTATTTTATTACCTTCTAATTTATGAACTATTGGAGTGATTAAAATTTCTTCGATAAGCACGTTGGCTGATTGTAAGTGTTCCATGCGCTTTCAATTCATCCGCGGATTGAGAGATGATTGTGATATAAAATTTTTTTCTTGCAGTATATATGCATACATCATATCCCAGGAAATATTTACAACAGGTTTTGTGTCCGTGCAGTTCACAAATTTTTCCAAGCATTAGGAATAAAAGATACGTTCGGGGTTACCCCAGTTCTCCCTCCGATGCACACGAGATGAGTTTTAAGTTTTATATTGCACGGTTTATCCAACTGGTCACTCAGTTCTTTTTGTGTCAGCGTGTAAGTGGGTATCAACTCAACGCTATACCGCTGATTAGAATACAGATTCACTCCCCCTTAGATCATTATATCAATATCTTATTATTAATTTATCCTAAAGGCATCAGTTATCATCTTAGATGACTTGTAATAGATTGAGGTGTCCCTTCAGGTTCTTTTCGTTTTATGGATAGAAGGGAAATTTAAAAAGCAAAGAGGCCTCCACCCTTCTGTGTAACTTGAGGAGTATCCGCGGTGTGTTAGGTCAGCGCGCTCATCATCAGTTGCCGCTGCTTTCTCTAAATCTCCAAAGCACTACAAATAAACCATAACTCCATTTTAGTAACCAAAAGAGACAGAAAAAGTCACACTTGCACTTTAACTATGCTTTGGAATAATGATGATCGATAGCTTTGTCGACCACGGTGATCATTCAATAATCAAGAGCGTGAAAATATACGAGCCAGAAAAACTAAGGTTGCCAAGCCCTCGTGTATTTGAAGCTGGCATCTATGACTAATTAAACATTTTGTCGTAACACAATGAAATCATTCTTAACTCGCAGCACACAATGATAGCCTTCTGCCTTATTTCAAAGCCCGCTGGTTAAATAGCTAACAATTAAGGAGTGAATATTCTTTATCAAATTCAGTTTTCTCTAAGCTTACTACGGGTTTTGTTCCAGCGCCTTCATCGAAAATGAATAATAAACTTGGTGCGCAATAATCTCCATTTTTCCACTGTGATTTTACTTAGCCTAGTCAACTCGTCACTTTTATTCAAATTGATCATATTTTAAAAAGGAAGAAGGATGACGAAAGGTTATGAAGGTTGTAGGGATGGACATCAAATAACGCAAGAAAAAAAACTGGACTGCAAACACAAGGTATGGGATACTCACTCAAAGAAGACTTAGTACCATTCTAAATTAACGAATTGACGATCTAACCTCAATTAGCCAGACTTGAATTTCCCTCCGGGATCTCGCTCTCCGTAACAGAATCTTCGTTCTTGATGGCGGAGCCTTCGCTTACAACGGCAGAATCATCTTTTGTTACGACCGAGTCTTCTGCATTTATGGTGGAACCTTCCTCTTTATTGCTTTTTCTCAACATGTTTAATGGATTACGGCCGATAAGTTCTACCGAAAGTCCAAAAATAAGACCAATGTATGCAACGAAGACCAGGAACTGAACGAACGGCGTCACGTCCATGTTAAGGATGGGTAAAATCATGTTTTGTGTCTTCGCAGGAGATTTATTAAGATTTGTTTTGACCACGAACTTTAAAATTTATGCAGAAACGGATTTTTCTGAAACTTGGCAGCCGTCATGATGCATATTTCATATTGAATACGAACCGGGGGGATGCATTCATTTCCACTATATAGAAAAGGGGGTTGGGTCTCCTACCCTGAGTTTCAAATACTTTTTCCCCTCTTATGAAGAACTATTGAACAATTCGCCACGTTTCGTTTAATTTAACTTTTCTTGTACAATGGAGTACTTTTTGTGTTTATATAGCAAATCACCGCAGCACTGTACTCAAACGTCTTGTGCCACGAAAAAGGGAAAAAAGTGTTTTCAGTGCATTATATTTCTTCTTTTAAAACTTTATTTATACCAATGAAATACGTCAATTGCAGTTTTCCTAATTATTTTCCCTACTGCAGCTATTGAAACCCATTCCTTATAAACCTTTCACCTGAAAATGTCAAACGTTTTTGAAGCACTTTAGCTAGGTATCTACAGGAATCCCCCCCCCCCTTTCCTCGACGAAAGGCAAAGAGAGTAATATTTGAGAGCCCCAATGAGATTTCTCGACAAACTGCTATTAGGCCACCTTATCTTTGAAGAGATTTTCGTTTACCTCTAACATTCCTTTAGTAGAATTTTCATGGCTTCGAGTAAGAGCTTCATTACTGTCAGTGCTCCCTAAAAGTTACCAGAGAAGTGATGATTTTTTTTATTTACAAGTATGTCTCCAACAGGTACCAGCAGCTCAATTTTGGAGTATTAAACTAATGAAATGCAAATTTTAAGTACCCTCTGTTAAATCACTAAAGCGGGCCACGCCTAAATCGTAACTGTTGGGTTCAGTTCTGGTTTCAGTGTAACCTCAATTCACCTTTATTCCATGTTTCATGTCCAAAATTAAAGGTGAATTTTAAATGTGAATTTGCAGAATCGTACAATTCCAATGACAAGTCGCTTCAATATTGATATTGAGTGGCATTAACATAATTTGTATCACTATTAATATTGTTATTATCATTTACAAACTGAGAGAGATGAAATACGAACAAGAAAAAGGCCAGCAATATTATTGCAAATGTTTTCTTCTTGTTGAGTAGGTTTAGTCATGCTTGGTCGCTCGTGAAAAATTAAGCTGCAATGGTAAAAATGAGAAAAGATGATGAAATAACGGTTGCCGCGGAAACGGCTCATTCTTGTTTGTCTTTCGATTTCAGTGCCTCCAAGAGCGCTTGATTTTTTTCTTTCTTTTTTGGCCGATGTCTTTTCTCTCGCGCAACGCAATATTTCAGAAAAACTAACGTGCTGGTTAATTTTCTTAGAACAGACTCCCTAAACAGTTGTCAGCGACTACCGACTCTATACAAACGACTCATTCACGACATTAACATTACAAACGAACCGAACAGAACGACCTATCTCTACCGATGGATGGAAACAGATCAATCACGACCGACTTACGCCACTTGAGTCTTACAGCCAATAACATCACGGCAAAATTGACCAATCATTTTACACGAACTGGACTAAGAACATTTCAGCTGACATCAACTATTCACTTGTAATTCTCCTTACTCTCCGCTGTACAATTCTTAGGATGTTAGTTTGGAGAAATTGGTATTGGGTCAACTGATAATTCGCTGATTGATAATTTCCTTTATTCTCATCCGTTGTTCGCTTAATGTTGTATTGATGTCGTGTGTCGCGTTCTCTCATAGGAGTTGAAGTGTTAAGGAGTATTCTCACCAACATGTCCACTTAAAATGTTAGGGTTCAACTTCAAAAGCGGCGAATAGCACATGTTTTCATATGGACCACAGCCTTTATTCAACTCAAACAGTTTAATTTCGCTAAAATACCATATTGATGATAGCGGTAAAAACATCTACGTCTCAATTTTATCATTTGAGGATAACATTTGTTGTAACTTTGAGTTTGCTTAGTAAGTATTCAATACGGGAAACTTATTTCATTTGGTCCATTTTACATCCCAGCTCGCGGACCTGTACGCTGGTGCCTCTCCGATACTGCCGCCCACGTTGTGCCTAAAGATCTAATAAACATTATTTTAAAATTTACCATCAAGTTTATTCGAAAAAACAAATATAAAAACAAGACCGTTAAACTCTGACAGATACGGGAAATGAATGAAAAGTCAAATGAATGAAAAGTACCGTGACTTGCCCCTCCAATTCAAATATCCAATAACTTAACTGACATCCACAAGGCAAACTGAATAGCCAAATTAAAAAACTGCACTAACCTCCTCCAAGCGTCTGCGGATGTTCGTCCTCAACACTTCTAAATTTTCAGCCCCTCCTTCATCCCTAAACTTTTACTGAGGCCGTCCCTAGAAGAGTTTAAAACGGCTTCCGTGCAGTAAGAAAAAATTCAGTACGTTAAGTAACAGAGTACTTCAAGTGAATACACCAAATAACGACACTTGCAAATAGTAGAAAGTAAACCACTTGGATCATTCAACAATAACATGAACGAATTTCAAAAAAACATCATCGAAAGACTCCATGGTGATTTATGCTCCCTGATATGTGATCCTTACTGGGAGTTTTCCTCAGTTTTAAAAGGAAAAAAATTTCCCAATCCCAATCGAACCACTTGGACAATTCAACCGACATCAAGAAAAACAATTTAGAAACCTTTTTGAAGAAGAAAAAAAAAAACAAGGAATATTTTAAATGGATTAAAAAGGAAAATATATTTCGACTTATTTGTGTAGTTCTGTTACCTTGCAGTCCCCCTTCTTGATACATTTGGAAATAACCATACCGCCATCGACCAACGTTGAAGAAAGGAAAAGTGCAAAAAAACACAAAGCGCTGTATTTTTCATCTTGCTTACACGAGCTTCGGTGCATGAAAAATCTACATCTCAACAGCAGTGGAAGCAAAGTTCTTGGGAGCAACCTTTGTAGATATCTAAGACGAGCTAACTTGCCTCCCTCTGGCCAAGAACTGACAACAAAGCTGGCAACGGGTTTTCGGCAGGACCACTTCCGAGCACGCAAACCTTTGAACCATACCACGATGTGAACCAGTTACTTGAGCCAAGTAAGAGAAATGACAAATTATTGAACCAGGTTGATGGTCTTAATAAGAATTGTACATTAAAGAAACACAGTGATACAAATAATTCCGCTACAAATTCCCATACAAAACTGAATAATAATAGCCAAGTTCATCCAAAAACTCTGACAGACTTACCTAATAGATTTTCAAGTAGCACACACGTGCAGCCAAATTTGGGTATTCCATTAATTAGAGGATTTAAAATTGCTTCTCTTAATTTGGCCAGCTTGTATAAAAATATTGACCAGCTTAGGGTCTATATGCTGTCCAAGACAGTTGATATATTAGCTATTAATGAGACTCGTATAGACAGCTCTATTCAAAATGGTGAGGTTAGTATCCCTGGATATATCCTTGAAATGAAAGATAGAAATAGAAATGGGGGTGGTGTGGCCCTCTATATTAGGGATTCAATCAATTATAAGCGTCTCATTGACCTCCCGGATGATAACATAGAATTTATCAGTATCCAAGCGTCGAAACCGAAAGCAAAATCATTTATTGTGTGCACTTGGTATAGGCCTCCAGGGTCCACCACTGAACTGATGAACAGATTTGAAGATGTATTGCAAAAATTGGACTCATATCATATGAAGGTTGACATTATCGGTGACCTAAACTGTAGTATTGGTGCGACATCACCAGATTGCAGCACTCAAAAAGTACTAGATCTCTGTGATAGTTACCAGTATAGGAAATTAATTTATTAGCCAACACGTATAACACAGCTTACATTGTATAACACAGCTTTATTATTGATGTGTTTTAACTAATCATTCGTGGAATTTTTCGTACTCCGGAGTCACCGATATCGGAATCAGTGATCACTGTCTGGTGTATGCAATAAGAAAGATTTGTATCCGCAAATCAAATCCAAAGACTGTAACGAGCAGATGCTTTAAAAATTTTATTCTACATAGTTTTCGAACTGATTTATCTATGGTCCCGTGGCATCTGATTGAACAGGAGCAAAATCCTGGCATTGCTTGGGATATATGGCAGCATATGTTCTTAGAAATTGCTGATAGCCATGCGCCACTAGAGAGGAAGAGAGTGAAAGGAATCTCTTCCCCCTGGATTACTCCAAAGCTAAAAAGGCTAATGTTTCAGAGAGACAAACTGAAAAAGTTGGCCTCAAGGTTCCCAACAGATCGCAATTGGACTTCTTACAAACACATGAAGAATAAGGTTAATTATGAAATTAAGAATGCTAAAATGAACTATTATAATGCCTTCTTCAAAGATAACTGCAGAAACATAAAGAATACTTGGAAGGGAGTCAATAGACTAATTGGAAATGAACCCTAAATTTAATAAGATAACTCAGCTGGACATTGGGGATACTGTAAATAATGACCCCATCAAAATCAGTAATATACTCAACACACATTTCTCCAAAATAGGACCTTCGTTAGCCTCTGAAATTAAAGATACATCCAGCAATTTTACTGACTATATTACCCCCGCAGAACACATTTATAATTTGGCGAAAGTATCATGCCAGGGGGTCTTTAATTTGATTCAGAAAATACCGAGTAATAAAGCCAGTGGTCTTGATAACATCTCAGCGCGTCTCCTGAAAGAAGCGTCTCCCATAGTTACTCGCAGTCTAACTTTTATAATAAACCAGTCAATTACCACTGGAATATTTCCAAATGCTTGAAAGCGAGCTAGAGCTTCGCCAATATTTAAAGAAGACCTCAGGACTGATCCTAACAACTACAGACCTATCTCAGTTCTGACTGTAGTAAGTAAATTAATTGAAAGAGTGGTTTTTAATCAATTATATGAATATTCAAATAATAATAATTTGTTAACTGAATCACAATCTGGCTTCAGACCTATGCATGCTTTCCGCTGAAACAGCTTTACCTGAGGCTACGAATGAATGGCTATGGAATACTGACAACAATCTCTTAAATGGTGTGATATTCCTGGACTTGAAAAAA